ATCAACTCGACCTCCAAATTATCAAATCTTATTTCCAAATCCCTAGATCCAAATTCTCAATTTACACCTCTAAAACACGTAATATAGTCGGATTATTCGATGATAATTTAATATTATAGAGTAGAAATGCTCACAAGTAACTTACCTCAAGTTTCCCGTAATTCTCTCTGAAAATCGCCCTTAAAACCGTGCTTGAAGGTCCAAAATGGCAAAACTTGGAACCCCTTCGAAATGTATACTGTCCAGGAATTTTGCACCTACGAGTCACTTAGCTACTTCTGCGGTCCCGCAGATGCAAGAAACCAACTGCTTCTACGACTGCCCCTGCTTCTGCGGACGCACTTCTCCGAAGAAGTGTCCGCTTCTGCGATTTTGCCCAGCCCCCCTTGCATCCGCAACTGCGACCTTGGTGTCACTTCTGTGGACTCGCTTCTGTGAGATTTCGTCTGCTTCTGCGGACTTCCTGATTCTGCGATGCCAGGCTCGCTTTTAGAATGCAAAAATTTCCAGATTTCTTCCAAGTCCAAAATCGCCTCGATATCAAAAAGTCCACTCCCCGGTCAAACTTCGAAACTTAAATTTCTACTTTAGGCATTTCTAGCCTAATTTAACTACGGACTTCCATAAAATTTTCCAATCACGCTCCTAAATCCAAAATCACCATACAGAGCGCTATTGGAATCATAAAAATTCTATTCCGGGATCGTTTACACATAAGTCGACATCCAGCCAACCTTTTTAACTTAAGTTATAAACTTTGGAATTAAGTGTTCCCATTCATTCCAAGACCTCACCGGACCCAAACCAATCATCTCGGCAAGTCATATAACAACTGTAAAGCACAAATTGAGCAGTAAATGGGAAAATAGAGTTGTAATACTCAAAACGACTAGTCGAGTCGTTACATTCTTTACCAAAAAAAGTATTCCAGCATTAGTTAAAAATAATTTAGATCCAAACTTATATTATGTAAGCCCCTAGTAACCTGACTGATAACGAAGTAGTTTATAGGACTTATTATTGTGACATGGATATATCAAGAAACCACAAATATATTTCAAAGGTTGTTAAGGTTTTTTTAAAGTAGTAATTGCCAATAGATAAGAATGTTATTTTTTAATTGCAGTCACCCACACCAAACACTTGCTTTTGGTAAAACCAAAATATATGAAAATATATTGGTTATTTCTATACTATCCGCAGGCTTAAACAACAAAAGTTTAAGTTCTATTTACATTTTGAATCATCTTAATTTTATTAGATAATAGTGGTATTCGAGTTACCATGCATGCATATAATCGACTATTCCAATTTTTGGATTGTATGAATATACCGTTTCTTTAAGGGTACATTTAGTAGAATCGGAAAAGGAAGGAAAGAAATTTACCCACCAAGATCTGAACGTCGCCATTGGTTTTACGGGGATTTATGTGATGACCCAAAAGGTCATCTTATATTTTAGAACTCTATTCTACGCTCTTAAGCCTTAAAAATTTCATTTTTACCTACCTCGATTTGCGTGCGCGGTCTAGGTATTGGCCCAGAAGGCTTATATGTTAAAAACTGATAAAAATAAGAATATTTTCCTAAAAACTTTAGTTGAGTTGACTTCGGTCAACATTTTTGATAAACGGGCTCAGATCCATAATTTGATGGCCCTGGTGGGTCCGTATCGAAATATGGGACCTGTGCGTATTCTCGAAATCAAATTCGAAGGTCCCTAGCTCGAGTTATAAATTTTTGATGAAAATTAAAAGTCTAAAAGTTAAATAGTTTTTAAGAATTGGTTGATGTTTGGCCTTATTGATACCGCGTCCGTATTTTGATTTCGGAGCCCGGTATAGGTCCAATATAATATTTATGACTTATCTGTGAAATTTGATGAGAAACGAAGTTGGTTGGACGTGATTCAGACGTGCGATTGTGAAGATAGGAATTTTAAAGTGTTCTTGAGAATTTCATTTGATTTGGTGCTAAATTCCTAGTTCTAGGTGTTATTTTGGTGATTTGGTCGCGCGAACAAGTTCGTATGATATTTTTAGACTAGTGTGCATATTTGGTGTGGAGCCCCGAGGGCTCGGGTGAGTTTCGGATAGGCTACGGGATGTTTTGGACTTAGAAAATCTGGTATTTTGCTGCAGCAGGTGTTCTGGTTTGTCCTTCTTCGCGTTCGCAAAGGTACTCTCGCGAACGCGAAGAGTAAGCTGGTCAGGCTGAAATTTTCTTCTTCGCGAACGTGAAGGCTTGGTCGTGAACACGAAGCGATGGGGGCGTTACCCTTCGCGAATACGACCAGCTCACCGCGAACGCGTAGTGTTAGGGACCAGGAGGAGGGAGTCAGTAATCGTTCATCGCGAACGCGAGCATGGTCTCACGAACGCGAAGGCCAGGGGGGAGTAGCCTTCGCGAACGCGAAGGATTGGCAATTCTGCTCTTTGCGAACGCGACAGTGTCCTCGCGAACGCGACAGTGTCCTCGCGAACGCGATGAACACTGTCGTCAGTGCATAAAACAGTCCCAAAACGGGACTTAAGCCATTAATTCATTTTTCCAAAAACCAAACGGGCTAGAGGCGATTTTCAAGATATATTTTCTTCCCCAAAGTGTTGGTAAGTGATTCTAAACCATTTTCTTTCAATTATCCATTACATTTCATGAATTTCCAACTTAAAATCTAGAGTTCTCATGGTAGAATTGGGGGTTTGGGGTAAAAACTAGGGATTTCAAAATTTGGGGATTTAGACCTCAATTTGAGGTCGTATTCCAAAACCAATTATATATCCGGGCTCAGGGGTGAATGGGTAAATAAATTTTGGTATGAACCTCGGGTTTTGACCAAGCGGGCCCGGGGTCGATTTTTGCACTAAGGAAGTTTGGAAAAATCGAAATTTATGCAATGTAATTAATTCCTTTAGCAATATTTGATATTATTGAGTCATTTTTGAATAGATACGAGTGGTTTGGAGGTTGATTCTAGAGGAAAAGCTGTGATTGAGTATTGAGTGGCCTTTAGAGCGAGGTAAGTGTCGTGGTTAACCCTGACTTTAGGGAATTAGGAACCTCAGATTATTTTCTATGTGAAATTTATGTGAGCATCGTATATTTGAGGTGACGAGTACTTATGCGCCGCCAATTTACCTACTTTCCCTGTTTCTCTGGTTTTCTCATATTGTCACTTTTTCCCATGCCTAATTGCTACGGGTTTAGACTAATGTTATTAAATTAATCATTCTTATCATGTTTACGATCTTCTGGTGATAATTGAGTATTTATTTCGAAGTTGAGATTGATATTGTGGAACCAAATATTGATGTAAGGCTTGTACTTGTTGTTCTATCTCCTTGTTGTTATTTATTCATTGTATTATGGTAAGGGAGAGTGTTAATACACGAAGGGTGATGCCGTTCCATATTGTGAGTGTAAAAGCACGAAGGGTGATGCCGTGCCATGATATTAGAGTTAATGCACGAAGGGCGATGCCGTACCGTTTCTATTGAGTTTATGGTGAGATTGAGAGTAAAAGCATAAAGGGTGATGCCGTGCATTTTTCCTTTACTGTATTCATTGTTCCTGTTGATTCATAGTATATTGGTTGTTCCAGTTATCATTCTGTTGTAGTTCTTTATCATGTATTTCCCTCAGCATGTTTCCCCCTCCTGGTATTTCCTGTCTAGCTCTTCATTACTGTTATTTGTATATATACTGTTAAATTGTACATGTTGATTTGTACGTGCCATGCCTTAGCCTTGTCACTACTTCGTCGAGGTTAGACTCGACACTTACCAGTACATGTGGTCGGTTGTATTGATACTGCACTCTACACTTTCTGTGCATATTTTGGTTTCGGCTCGGGTTGATCGAGATTTTAGCTGTTGGACCCGCTATCCGGAGACTCAAGGTAGATCTTTCGGTGTTCATAGACCTTGAATTCCCCGTCTATCTTTTCTATTGCCCTGTTTCTTTCATTCAAACAATTATATTTTTCTTAAACAATTACTTGTAGTAAAATTCTAGAATGCTTGTGAATTGTGACTCCAGATCCGGGTAGTAGTAATTAAATGCAGCCTTTATATTATTCCGCACTCACTATATTTCATCTTAGCTAATTATTGTTATTTACTGAATGAAATAAGGATTGGTTTAAATGATTCTCTAACGTTGGCTTGCCTAGCAAGCGAAATGTTAGGCGCCATCACGGTCCCGACGGTGGGAATTCTGGGTCGTGAAAATTTCTCCATTATCAAAAAAAGATAAATAAAAGAAATTTATAGTACTTGCTCCCCAGAAACTATATTTCTAATTATGCTAGTTGTAATAGGAAAAAACTTGATTATATATCCATATATTGCTGCTTGTACCAAATTGCATCCATTTATATGGTTAAGTAATAAATTGAGGTGATTTTATATATATATATNGCTCGAATATTACCAAAAATAGGAAAATAACCAAAAAAGAGAATATAAATAAAAGAAATAGTAAACTGAACTAGGAATATTGAAACATGTCCTAATCTTCTGCGACAAATCGAATATTAACAAAAACTGAAAATAACTAAAAAGAGAATATAAATAAAAGCATGTCATAATTTTCAGCGACAACTCGAAAATTACCAAAGAATTCGAAATTAAAAAAGATAATATTATATAAAAATAATGGTAAACTAAACTAGGATAGTTATTCATCCATTTGCAAATTAAGAGATATTACTAAGAGTATCAGATTCTAATAATCTTATAATAGCAAATCACCACTAGTACAGGCCTGGGCCTGGAAATTGACTTGACCATTACAATATTATAGAGGTAAATTTTGAAAATATTTTTAAAAATGAAGAGTACAGTCACCACTATGATTAATTATCTAAATTTACTTGCCTCATAACATGTGAACACTACAAAAATGAACTGGATTCATATCTATGAACTACCAAAATTGAAAAACCAAAGGCTTCAATATGTTGAAAAAACTCTATAAATACTAGGCTTCTATATTACAAAGTTCATATCACATAGTAACTCTTAGTAATTAATACTAGTTATATCATCATTATTCTTGAGAATGAGTACTAGACGGATTAAGGTTCGCAAAAGTGTTCGTCTCGCAAAGATAGAAAATCAAAATATTCAACAAGTGACTTTCTCAAAACGCCGAAATGGTGTCTTCAAGAAAGCAAACGAGCTTGTTGCTATGACTGGTGCTGAAGTTGGCATCATCGTGTGTCCACAAGGTAATTACAAGCCTAATTATATTTTTTTGGTCATCTATATATACATGATATACCATCAACAAATATTACTTTTTAAGCATAAATGTACATGCATCATCATAACTAAACATGCAAATCCAAGATCTTGAACATAATAATTAATTTCACATAAAATTAAAGCATCATAAAAATAATACTTGGTGTGGGAGGCATTATAACAGTAGATAAATTAATTTCACTCCTCTTGCCCTATTTTATATTACCGATTTCTCTCCTTTTGCTCTATAGGTAGCAAGCCTTACTCTTTTGGTCATCCAAATGTAAATGAAATCATCAACAAATATGTTGGCGAAAAAAGGTCTCCATCACCATCATCACCAGGCATTGATGACAAGTATGTCCAGATGTTCCGAAAAGCCAATTCTAGAGAACTTAACACACGACTCAATTCACTGCAAGACCAACTGGATTTTGCATTAAACATGAAAAGCAAACTCAAGCAAATGAATAAGAAAGTGGAGAGCCAACAAGAATGGTTCAAGGGTCCTATAGAGAAGATGAACTACATCGAGGCTTCAATGTTGAAGGAGGGATTGGAAGATCTGCTCTTGAAGGTGAAGAACTATGGTACTGAGCATGGTTATGGTTACGAAAATGGAAAGTGGAAGGCTGAATAAAAGCTACTACTAGTTTTGTTTTTTAATAATCGTTCATGTTATTTATTTTTAAAGGTTAAACTTGGCGCAACCATAAAAGTTGTCGTCGTGTGACTAGGATGTCACATGTACAACCCATAAATAACATTTTGCAGAAATGCAAAGTAAGGCAATCTACAAAAGACCAACATGGTCATGGTTTCTCTCTTTCCCGGCCGTATCCTGCACATAGCAGGAGTTTAGTGCAGGGGCTATTCTAGTTAATCATTTTTTTTTGCTTGGGGTATTATGTGGTGTTTTGGTGATATCTACTATGTATGCGTAATAAAAAACAAGACTATGATGGAATATAAGTAGAGTTATAAAAATTATATCTCAGATTCAAATAATTCAAAAAATTAAAATTAAAATAATATAATATTATTGTTTAAAAACCTAAAACTATATAACATATCACAAATACTTATTATATTACAAATAGCCAGAATATAGTCATCATAATAATATCTAAGCTAGAGAGATACCAAAAAAAAAAAAAATCTAAAATCAAAAAGTAACTTGAAAAGAATAAATTAAAGAATACAAAAAAAAAAACTTTAAGGAAATTAAGCATAAAGAAGGAAAATGCAAACGTGGAAGGAAAGTAAAAGCTAGAGGCCAAACCTTTTTGTACTTTGCATTTTGTAGACAAAGGTCTAAAGTGTATATGTTTCTCAGTAAATGACAAAGAGAAGATTGTGAAATTAAAATAAATAATTAGAAAAATATTAACTTTTGAATTTTTTAGTTTGAGAATTCAGTATGAATTATTTTTTGAATATTTAAATTTTAGAAAAGGATTTATTAAGCAATTTTGGCTCCAATTTGAAATATTTCTCGGGGCTTCCGCCCCAAATAAAGGCCTAGAACAATGGGGCTTACACCTAGGCAAACACCCAGAAGGTTTGTGCGTACGCCCCACTAGACAGACAGCTACGGAGCTATAATCTTGCTTAGGCAGCTACTGCTATCAATTCTAAAGTGGTACCACAAACCTGAATTGGAACGAAGTTGGATCTTTTCTCCCATGAAATTTCTTAAGTATGCATAGTGCAAAGAGTGTTGATCTCTCATCGTTCCACACACAGTTTTTCTTTGAAATATTACATTGTAGCACAAAAATCGTTAGGTTACAGCTTTCCGTTGCAAAGAGTGTTAGCCCTAAATCGCACACACAAATATACACGGTCAATCAAGTAATAAAGAGTGAGTAGAGTATCGTACCCACGAGGACTTGTGATTAATTATCAACTAAATCAAGCAATTTCTAATTTATCGAGTCAAGAACAATTTCATGGTAATTTTTGTTGATTAATTCTACTAACTAAAATTACGATTAAGAGAATAACTAATTAACTAGCACACTTAGCACAAAAATTTTAATTCAATGAGAAATAATATTCCAGTGTTATGGTTATGTAACAATCCTGTCGAATTCTTCAATTAACTTGACTTATTAATTTATCTGGGTTATTAACCTGCAAAGACAATAATACTCATAGAAATTCGACAGCTTCTACTCGCGTATTTAATTTATTCTAAACCCAATATTTCTATGAGATTAGTGTAACGACCCGACCGGTCATTTTGAGCATTTGCGCTCCTTTCAACTATTTGAAGTCTTGAATAACTTTCTACGAGGTATTATGACTTGTGTGAATTGTCAGTTTTGGCTTTAAGGTATTTCAGAGTTAGCTTGGAAGAATGAATTTCATGTTGGAAGCTTAAGTTAAAAAGGTTGACCGGATGTTGACTTATGTGTAACGACCCTGGAGAAATTTTGCTAAGGAAATTAAGGTTTGGTGGTGCCGAGGTAAATCAATTAGTACAAAGATTTTATCGGATATTTTGGGTTGAACAATGCACCGAAATATAAAGGAAAATTTTATCGTAAAATGGTCATTTCTACGACCACTATGCGGTCGCAGAATCACTCTGCGGACCGCATAATAGTCGCAAAGTAGAACAGGAGGAGGGCAAGATTTGAGGAAAATCGACGGCGCACTATGTGACCGCAGACCTGTTTTGCGGTGCATTATTCGACCGCAGAACAAGTATGCGGACTACTTAATAACCGCAGAACATGTCAGTAACGCCCAACTCTAGAGGCCAAATCATGCGGCCAGTATGCGGACCGCATACCTGTTATGCAATCGCATATGCGACCGCATAACTGCATCGGAGCTTCCATTCTTTCTAATTTTTTAACCAACCCAACTTCGATTTATAGCCCTTGAAGCTCATTTTTGAGTCAAAATCTGACATTTTAGAGAGAGGTGAGAGCATTTTAGAGAGAGAAAGTGAAGACTTAGTCATTTATCCCTCAATTCTTGTTCAAGGTTTGAAGATTTCACAAAGATCTTGCTAGGGATTCAAAGAGGTTAGAATTTCTTTCCCTAATTCTTTAATTTCGGGTTTGGAGTAAAGATGGGTGATTAATAGTATGATTCTTGGGTGTAGAGTATTATGTATACATACCAATAAGGTTGTGGAAAGATTGTTATGTTCAAATGGGTAAGGATTGGGTTGAAAATGATAGAAATCTTCATAGACTTTAATTGAAGATTTGAGAGTCGAGTTGGTGTCGGATTTTGGTGAAATTTGTATGATTGTACTCGTGGTTGGATGGGCATTCATATTCTGTAACTTTTGTCGGGTTTCGATACGTGGGCCCCACGGGCGATTTTTGAGTAAATTTTAGATTTTATTGGAAAATTAGTATCTCCTTATGGAATTAATTAGAATAATTGGTATTGACTGAATCAAATTAATTGTGGCTAGATACGAGGCTTTCAGAGACCAATTCTCGTGGCAAGGGCATAGCAGAATAAAGAATTACACGGGTTGAGGTAAGTAACAGTTATAAATCTGGTCGTGAGGGTATGAAACCTCGGATTTTGTGTCATGGGATTATTTTGGAGGTGACGCACATTTTAGGTGACAGGCGTGTAGGCGTGCACCGAAGGGATTGTGACTTGGTCCGTCCCGTGAAATTGTAAAGTTGAATAACCTGTTGTTAGTTATAAGCTCTCTTTGTGTTGTAGAAATTTGACTGTAAATCATATTAAAAATCATGCTTAGGCTATATGAGAGTATTCTTGGGACCCACAGAGGTCACATACTTGTTTAATTATTTGCTAATTGCTATCTTGTGCTCAGTCATGATTTTACTAGTGTATCATACCTTAGTCTTTCTTTATATTTGTTGATGCACTATGTTATCTTTGTTTGGGCTGATCTTTGTGATTTCTGAGAGCCCGAGAGACTAGAGAGGTGATGGACCGAGTAAGGCTGAGGGCCTGTTAGTGAGGTAAGGATATTATGGCATGTGAGTTGTCCGTGCAGGATATTATAGCATGTGAGTTGTCCGTGCAGGATATTATAGCATGTGAGTTGTCCGTGCAGGATATTATAGCACATGCGTTATCCGTACAGCACGTGAGTTGTCCGTACAGATTATGGCTCTAGGGTTGTAGGAGCCCCTTTGGAGTCTGTACACACCCCCACTGAGCGCGGGTACCCATTGAGTGTGAGTGCCGAGGGCTGAGAGCCGAGTGGTTGAGCTATTGTGATGAGCTGAGTGACTATTGCCTGAGAGGTTGTTCTTGCTTTGCATTTGTTATTGCACTTGGTTGCTATCTGTCATTGTTGTGAAATCTCTAAAATAATTTATATCCTGATTACTTGAAATTGAACTGTATAAAATTTATTTGACTTAATGTGCCGGATTCGAAAGCATGTCTATTCTTTGCTGGAATTACTGAAAGTGAACTATAATTGTGTAGCTCGTCATTATCTTCAGTTCCTTATTTATTATTGTTACTTGCTGAGTTGGTTGTACTTATACTACACCCTGCACTTCGTGTGCAGATCCAGGTGTTCCCGGACATAGCGGGTGTTGATCATTTTGCGCAGTTGATTTTTAGGAGATTTTGAGGTAGCTGCCGTGTTCCGCAGACCTTGTCTCTCCTTCTCTATATCCTTGTATATTGTATTTGGTCTCAAACTATTATAGATCGTATTTTCCCAGACTTGTACTCATATTAGATGCTCATGTACTCAGTGACACCAGGTTTTGGGAGTGTTGTATCGAAAATTTCAAGATTTTTGGTATTGTATTAAACGTTACATTTTTTAAAGGAAATCGTGGGTTATTAAAATTGTCAGCTTGCCTAGTACTGAGATAGGAGCCATCACGACATGTTAGGATTTTTGGATCGTGACAATTAGAGATAAAAAGAATGCATTAATAATCTCTTCCACAATTGGCTAAGCACGACAAATAGGTATATTTCTATTCGTATTCGCAAATCAATTCCCCAATGACAAGGTTCAAGATCTCACTCTATTCAATCCTATTGCAATCAAGAATTACCTCTTTCAAGTTCAACTCAAGATTCATATATAGTATTTTACTGTTAGCTAGGCAGTAAAATAATTATGCTAAGGATATAATAAACAACCAAACATGATAAATTAAATAATCAAATCAATATTCGAATATCACATTCATGTAAAACCATAACTCTAGTATAAACGAGTTTAGCCACTCATAGTCATGGTAGCAATCTCAATTAATTCCCAAGAATACATAAATATCAATAATAGAAGGGAAAAAGAAGAACTCTAGATGAATTCCTCGATTTCCGAACTCTGTTATGGATTCTCTCTGCTTCCAAGTGTGTTCTTGCCTCCCCAGGGTCTTCTCTCCCTTAAAAAAGTGGCTAACTATCATATTTATATTGTTTATGGTTAGTTGGGCCGAAATTGCCTTTTCCTAATTCAGATTGGAAAGGCTGATATTTCTCTGCTCCGGTCCCGGTCTGGCGAAGTGACCCTCGCTTCGCTGTCCGGGACTTTTCTAGTTTCTTCTGCTCTAGTCCCTGTCTGGCGAAGTCTCGCTTCGTTGTCCGGGACTTTTCTCTTCAACTCTTTTTCACCAATTAACTCACATGTTTATTCGTGATTGGGGTCAAGGACCCATAAAAGCTTCTTATTCTAATAGGATCAGGTCGTCCGCCTTGGCAGGATTATGTATTTCACTTCTTATGGGATCGGGTCGTTCACCTCAGCAGGATTTATGCACCACACTCTCATAGGAGTGGGCCGTTCACCTCAGCAGGTTAATTAATTTTTCATATGGTTCAGGCCATTTGATCGTCGGTAGTGTACAGTTTTATTATTATGTTGGATCGGGCCGTACGCCTTGGCATTTCGTATATCATATCTCCATGAAAATTGTGTGTGAGACTTTGAATTATGGTAAGCTACTTGATGAGATCCACTATATCTATATATA